ATAGCAAGACGTGTAAAGTATTTACTTTGCCTTCCGCAACTACTGCGAGTAAAAGGTATTTGACAGTAGAGTACTGTACTGGTAGTACTTGAGTATTTTCGAAGAAAACATACTTTTGTGGTATCTGAATAAAACTGTGGACAGGAATGTAGTGGAGCGATGAAGAGAGCGACGAGCAAAACGTACTTTCAACTAAAATGCTGATATACATACCTAAGTACATATGTATGTATGTGCATAGATACGTATGTGCATAGATACGTATGTGCATAGATACGTATGTGCATAGATACGCATGTGCATAGATACATATACAGGGTGTCCCAGAAGTAACCTGCCAAACTTAAGGAGAAGGTAGGTGGGGGGATGAGCTCCCCTGATAAACAAAAATTTTTCAGGTAAAAGTGTCACCGTTTTTGAAATATTTAAATTTTTTTTGAATTAAAAAAAATCGTGCCTTTTCGTGCATTTTCTTTAACTGCATCTACAAAGAAATCTATACTTAGTAAATTTTTTTATGTAAAATTAGTAAAAATATATTAAGGAACATTATAAAATGAGGACTATTATGGGATTTTTAACATTTTGATATTTTTTTCCCCAACTTTGACTATCTCTGGTGAAAAAAAATGTACTGAGCTATAACTTTACATTACATAGAAAAAATTCTCATTTAATAAATATTTCAGAAATGTACCACTCTTACTATTTCCAATAGAAAAAAAAAGTTATAGCCGCTTTTGTGGGTGAAGGACTGAGACACGCTAGAATGTATTTAATAGATTTAAATTTAAGTTGGTCTTGTTACCGACCAATGACATTACATAAATTACAGTACATTATTTCTTGCTCCTGACATTATTTTGTGTTACTTACCAGGATTCGGACTAGAGTCAATAACAAGGGCTATATCTATCAATATTTTTTTGTAAAGGATGGGTTCACGTGAAATAGAATATACATGAGTTGTTTGAAGAAAAATTTATTCATTTATTGATAAAATATGCTCAAATTGGCGACTTTCTACTCTAATGCAAGCTCGGCGCCTTTTAAGAAAATACGCTTTTAGAGATCCTAAACTCAATTGGGCTATCCCAGCATCAGCTCCATTTATTTGTTCCCGAAAATGCTCTTCGTTTTGAATTATTTTTGAATAAATTTTGTCCTTAAGACAGCCCCAGTAGAAAAAATCGAATGGATTCAGGTCTGGCGATCGATCGGGCCACGTGATTGGAACGTATCATCCAATCCATCGGCGAGGATAAGTTTCGTCTAATTTAGCTCTTACTTCACGCCCGTAGTGAGCAGGGCATCCGTCATTTTGCTGCCATAGTCTTCGCCGCAGGTTTAAGGGTACATCTTCTAAAAGAGTTGGAAGCCGTTCCTGAAGGAACCTTAAATAACTGTGGGAGTTGAGCGTTGGCGGCAGTTCCACAGGTCCCAATATCTGACAATTAAAAATACCGCACCATAAATTTATTTTGTGCTGGTACTGCGAACGATCTTATCTCATTTCGTGAGGATTGTCTATCTGCCAACTGTGAAGGTTATGTAAATTAAAATAACCATCACGTTTGCATGATGATTCATCGCTCCAAATTATTTTATTAAAAAAGTTGGGGTTTGAATCATGCATTCGCAACATTTCACGGCAAAATCTAACCTTCGACAGGTAATCTCTTTCTTGTAGAGTCTGAACACGTTGAATGTGGTAGGGATGGTATTTTAAAGCTTTGTGAACTGTAGTTTTTGGTATTCCAGTCCGTCTTTCCATCATTCTCACTGAAGTCGATGGACCTAGTTCCACTTCCTCTAACACAACTTTAACATCTACCGTTGCAGGACGTCCTCTCTCGCCGCCACGCCTTCCAGGTATGCGACCTTAAAAAAGTTAAAAATGATAGTTAAAAGAAGAATGGCTTCAAACAAGAAAGGTGTAAAAATTACTTACTTTCAGAAATTTCTCTATGGGTGCGGGGGAATACTTCACGACCCGGATGCCGATGATTTCATTATTTTCGGTAAGTAACACAAAATAATGCAGGAGCAAGTAATAATGTACCTTTTTACTATTTAGCATGTCATTGGTCGGTAACAAGACCAACTTAAATTTAAATCTATTAAATACATTCTAGCGTGTCTCAGTCCTTTACCCACAAAAGCGGCTCTATTTTTTTTTGGTTTTCTATTCGAAATAGTAAGAGTGGCACCTTTCTGAAATCTTTATTAAATGAGCAATTTTTTTATGCAATGTAAAGTTATAGCTCAGTACATCTGTTTTCACCAGAGATAGTCAAAGCTGGGGAAGAAAATATCAAAAAGTTAAAAATCACAATATGGTCCTAATTTTATAATGGTTCCTTAATGTATTTTAACTACATTGCATTTGAGTATGGAGAAGCAACTATCTGAAAGTATTTTACATAAAAAATTTACTAAGTATAGGCTTGTTTGTAGTGCAGTTAAAGAAAATACACGAAAAGGCACGATTTTTCTTTAATTCAAAAAAATTTAAATATTTCAAAAACGGTGACACTTTTACCTGCAAAATTTTTGCTTATCAGGGAGCTCACCACCCCACCTGCCTTCTCTTCAAGTTTGGCAGGTTACTTCTGGGACACCCTGTATACATAAGTGTCCGCATATATTTTTTCTCGTCACTTGCTCTGTCGCTTCACTGCAGCAAAACCAAGTTGTGGGGAAAACCCTGACGATGTGCGTACAATTGAAACCATGGGCTTGAAGCAGGGACCGCAAATAACGATTATCCTTTGAAATTTCAACTCAGAAAATCACGCGGAAAGAGGAATGCTGCGTGCATAAGGAGTAATAAAGGAGTATTTCTTATTACTCGCAGTACCTTCAGCGGCACTGATTTTTATTTTTTAATTTTTACTTATAAAAATCAAGTTTAATCATTATATTTTGAGTTTTATTTTTTACTCAGAAAATAATCGTTATTTTTTGAGTTTTATTTTTTGCTCGGAAAATAATGGTTACGTTTTAAGTTTTATTATTTGCACGGGAATTAATGATTACGTTTTAAGTTTTAGTTTTTGCTCGGAAAATAATCGTAATTTCTTGAGTTTTATTTTTTGCTCAGAAAATAAAACTTAATTTTGGCGTATGCGTATGCGC